AAAAAAAAACATCATTTGATAGCAAATGTATGAATGGAACCAACAATAGAAGCTTGGATGTTGATTACTAATAAGCTGTACTTAGCTTTCTCTGATCAGAAATTTAGAATAATCAAATTTTAACAATCATATCCATCTATTCGAAAAGATATTGTACTTTCATTTTATCACACAAGGAATAAGCGATATTTAAAATAATCTTTTGAAGTTGTTTATGTTGAAATTCGCTAAAGCTGGACATTTTTTGAAAAATCATATTTACCATCATTTGCTAATTCAAGGTTTTCGTTAGCCAAAAATCAACCGAAATAATCGATGAGTAACTGTTTGACATATCGTCGTTAAGTCTTTTGATTTTTATTCTCTTATTTGAATCATCATTATTCAAGCTTTCAAAAATATTTCATCTAAGCCTACTAAGCATATTTTTTTAAATATAGAATATCTATTTTAAGTACAGATCATCTATGTAAGCATTCTCGTTTGCAACGAACGAGGAAACACTGTACTCATGTTGCTATCGAGATCTGCGCATTTCATTTTTTCTTCCTTCTTTATGAGAAGTATATGTAGGTATCTGCCAACAGCAAGGACAACGGGTAGAGGAAATAGGTCATTCAATGTTAAAGCAAAAAAGTAAACAGATTGAAATAATAACATAGAAGACACTAGACGAACGAAGAAATAATCAAAGAAAAAGAATAAAAATAAAGAGATCGAAGTACATGTTTTAATAATGCACCGTAATAACCTTGTGATTGTCACAAGATATAAATAAGAGAATGAGTCTTTTAGATAAAAAAAAAAAGTGAGTGTCATGTTTCAGTCAACAAACGAACTTGATGAATATGATAATATCTTGTCGATGTCTTCTCGCAACAAAACGCACCATTATTATTGAAAGAAATGTCAGTTTTCTTTCAGACGAAAAAGTTCACAATATTCTCAGTTCTTTGTTTCCTCTATTATGAAAAATGATGTAGTGTAATTATGTACTACCATCGCATTACTTCTCAGTTTTCAAATTTTCATATAGCAAAGAACAGCTTGTAAGCGACTCAAAAACGAATGTCATTAGAATAATCGTTTAGACATACGGAATCACAGAGTTGTCTTAGAACCATCATTAATAATTTCTAATAAATAAAACTTGATGGCCATGTGTATCATTACTACGTAAACTATATTGAGTGCTGCTCTGAAGCACTCAGTATTCTAATAAAAGCCCTAAAAGTATTAGAGTTTGGCCAAGCTATCGAGTTTTTTTTTCAAAAGATCCTAGGTTTTCGGAAGACTCGTATTTTCGAATTTTGAACTGAAACTTCGTGTATATAGAGCACTCACCTAGACAAACTTCCATGAAAAATCTCATAAGATTCAAATCAAGTTTCTTCGAAATATAGAGCTTTCAAAAAAAAACGCATGTTATATGCGGAGACATGAGTTTTCTGAAAAACCTAGGCTCTGTAGAAACAAATTTAATGGCTTAGTCGAACCAGAATCGTTTTAGAGTTTTTGTTAAAATACCATGTAATTAACTTTTGAGTTATATCATCCATCAATCGATCGATTTTATTTAAATCTATTTGACAGCATGACTTCTGATTATTAAGTTATCGAGAAGAACTATGAAGCTTTACATATTCTACGGCCGTCGCTTCAATTTATAGGTAAGTACGATAGATGACTGTACCGCTTAAATGTCTGCAGTAACTCTCTAATTCAAAATGGAATTCTTAGTAAACTTCATGTATTTACATTACACAAATACTTTTCTTCAAAGAAACTTTAGTTGTAGATCAATAAGCATAATAATTATTGTCTTTGTTAACCTTCTTGTTTATTCATATGTATACTTTGGATAAATTTGTGCGTATTAATCTCTGTATACGAATCCTAGTTAAGACAAAATACTAGAAAGCATAGGTACGATGATGCATAGAGTCTGATAGAAGTTGGTAAATGAAGTCCGTACGGGAAAATATAATGTGAAATGACGATCCTTATAGCAATCATCATTTTTTATCGATTACGATAGACATTATGCTGTTTAACTCGTTGTTCCCTAGAGTCAGTAAGATTATCTTGAATAATAGCAAAATTAATGAATTTTTG